CGTGGGATTCGAACTCTAGACCTGCCATCTGGGGGTGCGACAACTCCACCACTTCACTAAGTCGCCACACCCTCATATTATCTACTTTAATTACATTGGCTTCAACTATATCTATATCATTTTCAACTAGATTATTGGCTTTAACTTCTTCAACTAAGACTTTTGTCCATTTAGTTTTTCTCAATTGATTTTCTACAAAATTTATGTAATAGTTATGATATAATTTGTTACCTTTTACTCAAGCTTTCTTAATCAAGCTGTTAGCTTCAGCTTCTTCTTATTTTTCTCCTGCTAATGAACAAAATTGATAAGATTTAGTAGTTTTATATTTCATACACTTCTTAATTTCAGACATATTTGCTATTAAGTAAATTAAAATAAGATCAACTGAATCAATTTGAATCAACTGATTTTGTTAAAATATAGTGTGAAAGCTTCAAGTTTACTTAGTTTGACTTGTCACATTTGATAGAACAGATAGGTTACCCAAAGCCTCTAAAAATATAAAAAAATGTCATTAAACCTATAAAAAATTTTTTTATCCTTATGCAACCATATCAGAATTTTTATCTAATTTGGGACAGTTTCTTCTTTTAGTAGCTGTTTTTGAGCGCAGAAAACTAACCAGATATCCAGATTGACAACCGAATCCCAAAACTAAACAAATTTTCACCATCTTCTAAGAAAATTGCTATGGCAAAAATCTTTTTAAATTTGAACAAAAATTTCTTGACAACTATTTGATATATTTTTTTTAAAATAAATTTATAAGATAGTAGAATTCACGAGACACTTAAAGAGATATTATTTTAGTCTAGGATTATACGCAATATAGAAATGTTCTGCAAATATATTAGAAGGGTATTCTAAAACCTGATTTCAATTGAAAAAACAAAAGCATTTTTTATTATCTGAAAATAACCATTAGTTTTAAAAAATCCTTTAAATTTTTTTTACAAAAAGTATTCCAAGGTTATATAATTTAGGAATCCCTGGGAATTACTGAGACTTTATAAGGCGGTTTTGCACTAAATAACATAAGTGTAACAATGCAGTCAATAATTTGGCCAAAATTTGGCCAAATTTTGTACTACAGAATTGCAGATCTTTATCAAAAAATGCAATAATTTGCATTACACAATTTTGAAAAATCCCTGACTGTATTTGTTTACTAGAACTAAACAAATTGGCCTAAACTAACCCATAACCTAATCCTAAACTAACCCTAATCTAGGCCGAGTGATTGTCATGTGATACTATGATAATCACTGAGTCCAATGTTCTTTAATCTTCTCGAATTCGCTTTTAAAAAAAAAATCATCAAATTCTGCTATTTTCATAGAAGGTGGTGAAATTTTCCCAAACATTAACTGAAAATTTCTCAACAACTACTTGAAATAATTCACAAAAAATCTCTATTGAGTTCTATTGGATTGCTATTGAGAAATTTTGTCTAAAAATTAAAAAATTCTACAACAGCTTACATACATTGATCATCACATGATATTCAGTAGGTGCCAATTCAAATGATCATGGCCATAATTGTTTAACAAATTCAAATACATAACATTTATTCATATAAATAACCAAGTAAATTTAACAGTATGCATAATTCATAGAATCATCACTGGTTGAATGATTAAACCTAGGTGCCGCACAAAAAATGCGCGGATGATCCTTGATTTTGATTGGCTAAGAGCGACGATCAAAAAATCGGGCCGGAATTACTCATAATTTTACTAATGAAATCGCAGCTGCCTATTAGGTGAAAATTGTTCCTGGGCTAATTTTACCATAATGCGTGCTTATTTTTTAAAAATTTCTATTTATATAATGAAAAAATTAAAAAGTCAAATCCGGCCGGAATTTAGTAAACAATTTTATAATGCGGACCAAAATTTCGAAGATCACCGACCGTTAGCCAATCAAAATTGAGGGTCATCCGCGCATTTTTTGTGCGGCACCTAGGTTTAATGGTCAAATCAGTCTCCAATCGGCATCGTGCAATCCTGATATTTACCTGATTTAAAATAGATATTTGATGCAAATCATAAATGTTAAAGCTCAAATCTTATTAACAAGGCGATCCATTCCAACATTCTCGATCACAACTGGATTATCATATACCAGTGTTGTACATTTTTGCTGTCCACAGCCTTTTTTGACCTTGTCCACGTCACAATGTCCACATTTCCAAGATTGTCCAAAACTTGTCCAAGCTTTAATAATTAATAAAATTATTTAAAAAAATATATGATTATATATTTTTTTAGGCACTAACATATTTTACTTAAAAATAAAAATAGGTTATATTAATAAAATTTTGAGTAATTTTAACTTAATTATTTGTCCACAAATGTCCAAGCTCTGTCCACAGCTGTCCCGTGACAACACTGTCATATACTGCTGTACATATATACATAGAATTTTTACTCTTAAATTCTGATTTTAGCCACCAATAGTAATAACAGACTGATAATCGTCGTCAAATTTGTTTAGCATTTCCAAAAACTGGAAAGGCATATTAACGTTAATGCCTTAGAATGTTCTTGATTAGTTATATTTGAATAAAAAATTATAGCAATTAGATAAATTTACACATAATTTATGATCTCTTCATTCTGCGATAAAAGCAATTAAACAAAATCAATCAAATTTCATTGAAGCATATTAGGAGATGTTGTATTATGTTACGTATTAAAATAAATTAAATAAGTTTATTTGATAATTAATGTTATTATTAGTAAGTTATCGTTCTTTTTTAGTAATTCATAGTGTTTATTTTTTTTTATTTTACTCAGAAAATTTTTTTGAAGTAATGAGAATCATGTAAATTTTAGGTAATAAAAACGATAATCAATAAAGATGAATAAACAAAATTTTCCGATATTAGCACAATAAATTGAAAGTGTTAATAATAAATTTATGATTGCTTTCCGTTTTTCAATTTTGACAAGTGAAGTTTTCTTTTCATTTTTAATCACTTATTTTCAGTATTTTATAAATACAACCATCACTCGTCAAGTGAAAAATTTTTTGTGCGAAATTAAGTTTGCGCAGTGCTTTGACTCACTAATTTTACGCATTCGCTAGCGCAAAGCGAAAATATGCGTACATCTACAATCGGTTGAAAATTATGAAACCCAAAATTACCAAAATAAGCCAACTTGAAGAAAATCAATTATCAAATTTAAATGTCAATAAACCAATTTCCAAGATAAGTAATTTAGCGCTAACTAATAATAACTAATAAATAAATAAATAAAAAATGAAAAAAAAATAAAAATAAACTTGAACAATTAATTAAAATTTTACACCAATAGATAAACTATGTTATATAACATGACGAATTTGTAGATTACATATAGAACACTAATTTGAAAAAGATTTGCAGAATTAATCTTAAATGTAATACAGTAGATGCAAATCTAAAGAGCAATTAGATCAAATTGGAAAAAATGTTCTACATGTACATTATATGGCGGTTATAACTTTAATGCTGCCACATACATAATACAAGCTAATCGTCAAGGGAAATCCTCAAACGTAATTAAAATAAAGTCACGTTCAACAAATAATAAAAATTCCTTAGCATGATTACTGCATATAAATAAAGTAATGATCATAAATCTTTTTCTACTTCCAAAATGAGCTCATTTTACAAATAAAATTATAAATCACGCTTTTATTTGTACAATGAAAAACAGATATAAAAAGTTTGATCGTAGCAAAAATTAACTAATATTCAAAAGTATCGACCACTAGTAAAATCGTAAAGTACCTTGTGAATGCCGTCCATAATTTAATAACTTTACGACAGGTCAAAAAGTATAACTCTTTTTAAATGAACAAAGATCCATATAAATACATATTAAGTATTTTATTTTAGATTCTTGAGATATTTCCGATATCAGCATTTCAGAAATGGAGTCAAATATTTGTCCAGCACCATTGATAGCTTCTCCTATAAGTAATTATACCGATAAAACTTGTATTGGAGGATGTTGCCTTCCATGTCCCTACATAAATAATTTCTATCCCCCAGCTCAAATAGATACGATATATACAGTTTTAAGCATTGTCAGAGTTATTTCATTTCTTTGTATTTCATTTATTGTGTTAAATTATTTGATGCAGCCAAGTAAAAGAGAACATCCTGCTATGATCGTTCTTCTTTTAAACGCTTTTCTCTTATTATTTCTCAGTGTCACTTTTTTTTACATTGGAAATCATAAGTATATTCAATGTGCTGACGACTTCACTCAATCAACTATGGAAAACAATCTTCTTTGCGGGATACAAGGTAAATATATCATTCCTATTATTTTTAAGGGACACTATTCATATAACATTCTCTAATTCATTTTCGTATATTAATATGAAATAGGAGTATTGTTGATCCTATCAACGTTCCTTCTTATTTTATATTGCTTCTTTTTAATCCTACAGTTACATGTCCAAGCTGTTTGGAAATCAAATATACTTCAAAGATATTACATACATATACAAGTATTTATTTGGATGACATCGCTGTCATTTACCTTCATACCAGCTGTCACAAAAAATATTTCATTCGACTTTGGTGCTGTTTGTTTGGTTTCTGGGAAAATCTCTTTAATAATTTTCTGGACTCCACTGGCCGTTTTTGTCATACCTGCATTTTTGATTCATTTAATGACTTTTGTACATATTTCTAGGGTAAGCCACTTAAGTTTATCTTTAAAGTTTGTGATGTCAAATATAAAATTCTAATAATTTTGATTTCCACATAGGCACAATGGATGTTAGCGCGCGATTTTGAAAATTCATCCTTAGGAACGGTCATAACACGATCAAGTATCTCTGTGGGTCCTATCACCGGTCAAGATGTTTTGAACGTCATTAAGATTCAATGGCGCTCTTTATTATTAACTATGATTTTGATATTTACTTTCATTATCTTTATGGTAACTCTTAAATTCATCATTTCTTTTTACCTATTTATTATATTTATTAATCTGAATTACTCTTTAGATATATTCAATTTTGGCAACACACCAATTATCCCCATTTCTTTCAGACTCAGCTAATGCTTCTCCATGGATATTTGAATGGATATCTTGCCTTGTGAAGTATCACTCGACAAATAATGGTCAAAGTCAATGTGCGTCTATTTCATTAAAACACGTCCCAAATGTTATATTTTTGACCATAGCGGAGCTATTAACGGCATCACTGGGTATATCTATTTTCTTCGTTTTTGGAACTAGTGTATTTTCACGGACTTGACAGTGATACACATGATTCAGGAACGGGTAAAGGTGATCAAGGAACCGGCGATTAGGTGGTCAGAGACAAATTAATTATGTAATTAATTAAAAGATATTAATATTCAATGTGTATAGCGTGATAATTTGCATGAATAATATAATGTAATCATAGTTTTGCAGTTAATCTGAGTAATCGCATGAACAATGTAGCATAATTTGGTAATTAATTTGAGTAATTAAATGAACGATCAAAAATTGCATAAGAATATTTTTTCATACGCAAAAACACTTAAACAAGCATGATGGAAGTTTGTTTTAATTGGCCGAATATTCGTTACCCATGTTACACAAGTCGGAAGATCATGTCGCGTAAATCACAAATAATAACCTATCACGTGCATAGTTAATTTAATCGCTTCGTTGCAATCTTCGTCGCGTGTTCGTATAATAAAATTAAAATTTATGCAATACACAGCAATTAGCCAAAAATATTAAATTTAATAACTTTAATTTATACTTTTTTCGAACGTTGAATGAAAACATCTTAGCAATTACCTATCTAATCCATGCCATAGAATAAAAATAAAAAAAAGTTTTAATATGTGAATTATACTAGCATTAGATAACGCGAAACACCATTTTAGAAGTACACGCGAAGGTTTTTATAAATAAAAATTAAATTTAAATTATGTAGTAACACAATGTAATATATATATGTAAAATAATTAAATAAATAAATAATAATTAAAAAAAAATTTAATTTTTAATTTTAATAAAAAATCGTATTTAAAATTGAAAACAAAGATTAAAATTTGTTGTACATGCTATAATGACCCAAAAAAACTTTGGCCCTTGCTCAGTCCGTAATTGTCAAATGGATTCAAGTCAATATCGTGGAATTACAGAAAATGTACTAAAAAAAGCAAAAGAAAAGGGCACTTTTGACCAGCATAATTATCTTGAAGTCAGAAAACAATTATGCTATCCTCATTATCTTAGCATAACTGAACCTGATCGCAATAGCGAAAATAAGTTACCAGCCAATAATGAAAAAGTCATCGTCGAGCTTGAAGTTCCTATGGAAATTGATAGTTCAACCAAAATCTGTTCTAAACTACTAACCGATTATGAAATAAAAAAATTAAGTGATACGAGTTAGTTAGTTTAATTGAAAATTAAAAAAAGAATTAGAAAGGTGTTAATAATGCTAATAAGTTAACGCATATTTTTAATGAAAATGAAATAATTATAAGTAAGCCATTGTCATTTTGTGACAAAATTGCTTTAATGACTAAAGTTCTCTATGAATAACAAAGAAAAGAAAATCATGCACTTGAATTTGACCCTGACAATTTTCAATCAATGCTTGAGAATTCTGAACTATTATTAAGAAGATTTTTTAAAGAACTATACAGAGCATTGATTCCAGATAGATAGTCCACTTATAATAAGGAAGAGGATAAAAAAAAGTAGTTAATATATGCTATTCAATAGCAGCAATTTGTAATAAATTTGCAAACAATTATCCTCTAGATGTCAGATTATATCTTGTAGCATCTGGTGCATCATGTGATGTAGTTAATACCATGTATAATGCTGGTATTATAGTTTGTTATAAGACTGTAGATAGTTATAGAAAAAAGATCACAAGTGAACATCCAGAAAAGATTCAGAAATATTTTACTAAAAAGTTAGTAGTCTAAGGATATCCATAATATTATTGATAATTAAAATTTAATTAGGGTTTTTTATTATTAGAGTAACAGTTTTTTTATGTATAATATTGATGATTATCATAATATACATAAGATAAGATGTCTAATATTATATTTTCTCAGCACCAATCTATTATACAACTTGCATTAGCAAGAAAATTTCTAAGTGCACCCCAATTTTAATAAATTATAATAGTAATTCTGTCCACAAACCCAACAATATAGATGTATTATTAATTTGTCTAAATTTAATTATGAAATATTATAAAATTTTTGATCTTTTATATATACAAAAAAAGAGTCAATAGATTGCTTCACAAAGAACAGAATTACTTAACTTTAATAAAATTAATCTTCTTTCTGTTCATTGCTATGATAATGCTATTAGAGAAATAAAAAAAAAAAAGAAGTATAAAAAAAGTAAAATTAGTTGAGATTAAAGAGAGCAATTTTCATTATGTAGATAACTATTTAAATGCACTAAAGATGATTCTTTTAGTAAATCAGAATATTGGACATGCTAATGATTATGTAATTTCAGTTGTCACTGACTGGCCTAGACAACTTTTTATATGAAAGGCATTAACCTATATAAATTTACAAAACAGAAATTCAAAAATACCTATGGCTATTAATGCCTTTGTATCTATGTTAGGCCCTCTGTATATATTACTAAATAGTCAAAGCAAGTTCTAAAAACCTTCTTTAAAAAATTGTTTCATGTAGTTTTTGGTAAAAATAAAATCTTTACAAAAAAACCTAAACCATGAAGAATAAAGCTCTTACTTGAACTTTTCTACCAAGAATGGTTAAAAATAAGAATAAGAATATTAGAAAAATTTAACCCTCAATATAAAGATATAGAGTATAGAATATTAGTCAACCTTCTTAATAACATAATTCTAGCAACTTTGATTATATAGTAGGACAAAAATGGGAGTTCTGGAACACTTTTTTGGCACCCTAGGTATCAAAGTAGTCATCTTACCTTTTTCATACTTTGTAAACCTATATTCTATAAAAACTCTTTACTTCCTATATAAAAACCTGGGTACAAAAATTATATAGTTAAATCTCTTTATTTTTATATTTTATAATCAAATTAGATAACAACAAAAAAATGATCGCATCGTCACACCTGATATTATATACTATTCATCTATATATAAACCAAGATACCAAAAATTAAGTATCTATTTTCCTTTTATAATACTTTTGATAATGTTTACCAACATAATAGCTTCTAATATAGTTAGGACATCTACCGCTTTTAGACCAAGTAGGTTTACTACAATCAGTATAAGGAAAGCATTTGATTGCATTTTTATGAAGCCAGCACCCTTTAGGATTCATACATGATTAACTGCTTATCTCTCTAGTATATAAAAAGAAATTGCATATATATTCACCTAACTGCATTTTTTATATATGCCTACTACATATTAAGTTTCAAATTGAATAAAAATATATTAT